CAAAGTCCAGGCCCCTGTCACGAGTTCCCCTGACCCAAGTTCTTGTCTTTGCACACAGACACCGATAAGGCCTATGGGCCTCAGGAGGCCCACGTCTTCCAGGAGCTTTGTCTGGGCTGAGTGGAGAAGGCGGGGCTTGTTTGTCTTGATCATAAAGGTTTCCAAGAGAACCTGGAAAGAGGGAGGGAGCCTGGCTGGCTGGTGGGCACCATGAGAGAGGCCCGTTTCTGATTCATGGCAAAGGCAATTCCATGTGTGTCTGAGTGCAACTGTACTGCACAAGGTGCCCAAGGTTTTAGAAGTAGACAGCCAGGCCTTTCTTTCGAGGCCCCTCTAGGTGGACTGGGCCCTCCTTTCAGTTAGCAGTTGAGTGTGTTGGCTGCTTGCCTCACCCAGGGGCTCCTTGCTCGGAAGAACCTTGCAGAAAGTAGTGGTGCTTTGCAAGGGGCAGGGCACTTTCTGCTAACACCCACTGGCTGTGGTCCACAGACCTGGCCATTCCAGTGTGAAACTTTGAAGGGCTTAACTTTTTCAGGGACAGATAGCGCAATTAAACAGGGCTCTTCTTGCCGAATTCTCCACCTCCCACCAAATGACTTTTTCCTGTATGATGCTGGTAAGAGGGTGGGGGAAGATACTCAAAGGATTCACTTGTGAACAGGAGTTCCTGGCAAGATGGCATTCTGTGAGCGATTTCATTACCAACAAGAACTAGGAGTGGAGCGTGTCCTATGGAGCCCTGGAACCCTGCACAGTGAACCTCCTGGGTCCAGATGACAGCGATACCATCACAAGAGCAGCAGCAGCAGAACCAGGAGCCAGAGCATGGAACAAAGTCATGGACTTCCCAACCCACAGAGCAATCAAAGCTGAGGGCTGGCTTGTGGAGTGGGGTCCCTCTGCAGGCTTAATCAGGGGAGTTGGGCTTGCTGACCCACCGAAGTGGAGCTGACGGCCTTTGGGCTGAGGCTTGCTGGAGTTGAGTGCTCTGGGCACTTGATGCAGGGAGGTAGGTTTGCTGACTCACGGAACAAGAGCTGGATGCCTTTGGGTTGAGGCGTACAGTGGAGTGGTCAGTCCCTTTGGGCATTTATTGGCAGACCTGAAAGAACTTTGTAACACTTCCTCCTGATTAGCAACTCAGCCCTGAGCATTTCTCACTGACATTACAGCGTGCTAACTTCCTTTATCAACTCTTTAATCAGGAATTTTTCCCGAGAGTTCTGTGTTCCATTGCAGCAGATATTAGAAACTCAGAGAAGGAAAAGAGAAAATGCCAATGAAGATTTCACAACTTCGTTAACCAGGACCCCCAAAGTCGGACTTCCCAGGTAAGTGTATGGGATTTTATTTTAAGGTACATCGGAACAGACAGGCCTTCTGTCCCTGCTCTAGAGCCTCACGTTCCCCAGAGACCTGGAAAAATCTCCGCAAGAAGATAGTGAAAGCCCAAACTTTATTTGCACAGGGATTATACCTCCAGGGAATTCCCTCAGACCCTTGACTAGGGATCCGAAAAGCCTTGTCCTCAGACAGAGTGCATCAGATAGTGAATTTGTGATTGTTCAACTCTGTCTAATGGACTCAAACCATTGAATCGTGTGGTATGTGAATGATATGTCAATGAAATGTTAATAAAAGGAATGGAACGGAAGATTTTCAAGTTTCATATCCAGTAATGCTTAGGTTAGGTCTGAAAGTGTTGCAAAGTGGGGGGGGGAGGGCATCGACTTTCCAATGCATTCTGCACAATAGCAAGGCTGTTCACATCCCTGGTCCATGGTCAGAGGGGATCCACCAGGGAAAAGCCTCATCTCTTTCCACTACTTTTCCTCCAGGCCTGAGGTTGAACTCATCGACCCTGTACGGTGGCCTTAAAAAATGCCACCGCAGCTTGGCAGCGCCCAGGACAGCTCAGTTACTTACAGTCTTTGATGGTGGCTTTGGTCTCCTCGGCATCGTTAAAAAAGGAGTAACCTGGAAAGAGGAAGAAAGATGCAGAGCATGCCGTGCGGTCCTGGTTTCCTTCTGAATTCTCTGAGCGGGCACTGGGGAGGTGCCCTGACACCGAAGCTGGGCGAGCGGGGCGGAGGCAGCTGACCCTCTGTGTGGCCTCAGCCCAGGGTTTCCGTATTGCGGCTCCTTTTCCTCATTGGTAACAAGACAGGATGACTGAGTTTCCCACTAATACTTTGTGATTTGGATGTCTGTTACATCTGGACAAGGGACACCAGAGACCACCATAAAGGCAAAATCTTACATGAATGCCAAGTTCAATGACAACTTGAGACAACCCCCGTTTCTCTTCCGAATGATGGAAGTAGGTTAGAGTTGAAGTAGGAGTTTCAGATCATGTTTGCCCAATTAGCATCATAGCCTAACGGACACTTCCCCATGTGGTGTTCCACGTGAGGACGAATTTTTACTTACTGAGGAGGCTGGCACAATGATTGACTATTCTGACTGGTTCAGCCCTGGCACCCCAGTTCACCCTGAACAGGATGGAGGACTGATGAGGGACCCGTTGCTCCCTCAAACGGGAAGCCATCCCTTCCTGACAACTTCTCTTGTCGTTACCAGGGTTCTCTTGTCTCCGGGCCCTGGACCCCGACAGAAACTCACTCCAGCTGCTGGCCCAGCAGGACAGAGTGCTATCCCCCTTGTTCTGCCAACCTCATTGCCATTGCGTCGGCTCGGATTCCCAGTGACCCTACTGGAAAGAGCAGACCAGCCCCACAGGGTTTCCAAGGCCGGAAATCTTTACAGGAGCAGATCGCCACCTCTTTCTCTCTCAGAGGGACTAATGGGTTCAAATCGCGGACCTTTGGTTGGCAGCAGAGTGCTTAACCACTCATTCCGGGGGTCCTCCTTGGCCGGCCAATGTGCTCATAATTCTACCATTGCAGGAGGGGTTGTGAGGGTCGTGACTCTAGTCTAGGGGTTCCTCAGGATAAGAAGAGGCAGCTTCCAAAACAACCTCACTGCCATCGAGGTGATCCCAACTCATGTCACCCTATAGGACAGAGTAGAACGGCCTCTGTGGGTTTCCAAGACTCTAAACCGTTATGGCAGCAAACAGCGTCATCTTTCTCCCTTGGAGTGGCTGGTGGGTTGGAACCATCAACCTTGCAGGTAGCAGCTCAGTGTGTAACCCATTATGCCAGCAGGACTCCTTACCCCAAACTCGCTGCCAATGAGATAGATTCTGATGCCTAGTGACCCCATAAGAAAGAGTAGTACTGCCCCTTTGAGTCTCTGAAATATTGTCTTTACAGAAGTAGACATCCTCATCTGTCTCCCACGAGCAGCTGGGGGGGGGGTATCTCTCTGACCTCGTGGTCAGCAGCTCTGTGTAGCCCACTCTGCCACCAGAGCTCCTGCCAGATGAGTCCTGGTGGGAGAAAGACAGGGCTTTCGACTCCCGTGAACAGTGATAGTCTCAGGAACTCACAGGGACAGTTCCACCCTGTTCTATAGGGTCACTATGGAGGAGCATTCGCTCGATGGCCGGGAGTGAGAAAGCATAGTGCTTTTGAGTAAGGCTGCTAACTACAAGGTCAGCAGTTTGAAACCCCCAGCAGCTCGTGGGAGAAAGACAGGGCTTTCGACTCCATAAAGAGTAATAGTCTTTAACTCTATAAACTCACACAGGCAGTTCTACCCTGTCCTATAAGGTCACTACAGGTCGGCATTGACTCAACGGCAGTGAGTTTTGTTTTGAGGGACTATTAAAAAGCAGTTAAATTTTGGGGGGCGGGAGGGGGGTTAGTTTGGCACAGAACCCTGAGGCAAGGGGGCCAGCAGTGTGCATTTTCTTTTTAAAAATCATTTTACTGGGGGCTCTTACAGCTCTTATAATATTCCATACATCAGTTGCATCAAGCATATTTGTACATATGTTGCCATCATCATTTCCAAAACATTTTCCACTTGAACCCTTGGTATCAGCTCCTGTATTTTCGTTGTAGCACTGTGCCCATGAAGGGGCTCCAGCAGAGGGGCACACGTGGCTCTCAGTCCAATTGTTGATTTGCCATTTGGCTGAGGATGCACCCCCTTCTGTCATGGGATGCCTCCTTCCCAGGGAGCTGGGGTTCTTGCCCAGGCTGCTGCGTTGGGAGGGCTGAGGCCTGTCCCTGACCTGCCCCCATCCAAGAGTACACCCGCTTAAGGGGAAGGCTGAAGGCCGAGGCCACTGCTCCCAGCACTTGGCAGGGCACTGGGCAGAACCAGTGGAAATCGGGTAACAACAGATAGCAGACTCACCTGTCCCTCCTCACACCAGGGGAGCCATGACTCCCGGGACACAAGCCAAGCAGAACTTGAGGGGCACCTGCCTTTCCTGCCCTCAGGTACTTGTAGGAGTGGGTGGCTCCTGGAGGGTGGGGCATCAAATGAATCTAAGTGTGGAGCTGGAAGTGTCCTCTGGTTTTTCTAGCTCACAGCAGGAACCCCTTCAATAGTCCCCCCACCATGCGGGGGTTAACTAGACGCTACTGGATTATCTCCAATGACAGAGGGCTTCTTACCTCTGGTGTGGTCTGAAGCCACCCTTCTAAGCAAAGGCGCTGTTAGGGAGGCCTTTCTTAATGTTGAGCAGGGGCTTTTCTTCCTTCCTCCCCTCTTTCGTCTTCCTCTTTCTCTCCTCCCTCCCTTCTGAGAAACCATCTGTGCTTGGATATATTAACGATTGATATTATTAATGGATATATTATGGATATATTATATTAATGGATATGGATATATTAACGCCAGGTAACACTTCACTGAAGCTTCCTGAGGAGACTGGTCCCATTGTGCTGTGACGGAAGCATTGGAGTCAGGGTGGGAAACGCAGACCGATGTGATGTGAACACCCCTGCTCTGTGCTGCCTGCCTGTGCGTCAGGGCTGCTCGCTGTGTGACTTTGGGAAAATCATGTAACCCCCGGCATCTCGGTTTCCTCGTCTGCAACACAGAGGACGCAGCACCGGGGTGCTCAGAGATCTTTCTCGGGGTTAAAGACTTGCCCATCAATTGACCCTCCTACTCGTGCAGGGTACGTTGGCAAATTAAATCATGCTACTGTTGCCCCTTTAGGCCATCTGATCCTTGTCCATTAAGACTCTGATAAAATGAAATGCCAATTAGTTGGCATCTTCTGGAAACCAGGAGGGAAAATGTCTGGTTAATTCCTTTTCCTTTTGCTTGATGAGGAGGCCAACCCAAATCCTCTTTTTGGATTTGGATTTCTGCAGTGGCAAGAGGAGCCCTGCAGTGCAGTGGTTATGCACGTGGGTCTGCTAACTGGGAGGTCGGCAGTTCAAAACCACCAGCTGCTCTGAGGAAGAAAGATGGGGCTCTCTGCCCCATACGTAGTTACAGTCTCAGAAACCCAGCGGGGAAGATCTACTCTCTCCCACAGGTTCACTATGATTCGGACCAACTCGTTGGCGGCGAGTTTTGTATGGCTGTCAATCTTTGTAGTCATAAGGCATCGTTTAGTGACAGCCTGGTTCCAGGCAAGCCTCTGAAATTGTGTTTTTCTTGAAAGAAAAACAAACTTGCTTTTTTGTTACGTGCTGCCTTTGACCTAAACTCTCTCCTTTACAGGATAATCAGGACTCCAGGAGTGCTGGTGATGGTTTGGGTCAGGTGTCAGGCTGCAAGATGGGCGATTCAAACCCACCAGCTGCTTCGTGGGAGAAAGAGGAGGCTGTCTGTTCCTGTAAACCCTAGTGTCCTACGCAGCCCTGGAAACCCTAGTGTCCTACGCAGCCCTGGAAACCCTAGTGTCCTACGAATCCACATGGACTCGATGGCGGTGGGCTTGGGCTTGGGCTTTGGGTTTGGTTCACAGGAGGTGTGTCCTGTGGCAGGAAAGGAACTCGGGAGGTTAGGGGTGGCCCTCTGTGGCCCACCATGCCCATCCCCCGCCCGCCCCTGACCTTGCGTGCGGATGTTCTGCAGGATGAAGTACAGGTACTCCCCGCAGACGCCGGCCGCCTCCATGAACTCCTCCGGCGTCATGCTGCACAGCTGCAGGCCGCTGACGTTGAAGTGGCAGAAGGAGATGCAGTTGGCGTCCAGCTTGTACTGGTCGCAGCAGAACTGGAGCCATTCCCAGACGTGGCGCTTGGTCCAGTACTCCGGGTGCACGGATGTCCAGTAGGGGTCGCAGGCTGTACCAGAGGAGAGAGAAAACGAGGGGCGATGGTCTCAAGAAAGATGAGCTTGTTAGACCAAACTCCCCACCCTCTATGGTGTCCGGGTCCCATGAAGTGAAAGGCCTTCTAGCCCGGGGGTGTTCTGCAGGGCCGAGGCCACCTTTGAGAAAACTAGAGGGGCTGGACGGACTTTGGGCACACTGAGAGCATGCCGGGGGCAGGAAACCCCATCAGGGCGTGGCAGTCCCCAGGCCTAGCCCTGGTGCCTAGGAACAGGGGGACGGGAGAGAGAAAGAAAAAGGTCCTTTCTGTTCCTTGGTTTCAGGTGCTATGGTATCCGGAGCACAGGCCTTGGAGCCTGACAAGCCAGGGCTCAAATCATGTTCCACCACTTTCCACTCGGGCAAGCTTACTCATTTACGGTTCAGTTTACCCATCTGTAAAACGGGGATGACAGGCTGTTTTGATACTTAGGGTGAATAAACATGGATTGCCTGGGACATACAAAATTATGATCAATTCGATAGTTATGAAATGCCTACTGTGTGCCAGGCCCCGTTTGAAGCCTGTTCATCCCCCTCTGCTCTGACGGAAAAGCTCCCCAACACCGGACTCCGGTTTGTGCACTGCCTCCAGTCATCTTGTGCTGGGCCCTTCTGGGGGAGAGGGGAGAGGGGACTGAGTTATGTCGTTGTTGTTCCTGGTGGTGTTGGAGGGTTCTGATCTTCTGGCCTATGTCCCCTTACTCCTCCAACGGAGCGCCGACACACCCAGACAGAGGAGGCTGCCAGCCTGTCTGGGCGGGAAGTGGCCCTGCCTGGTCCCACAGGTAGAGACTGATGCGCAGCAGGCCTGCCCCAGTGGGTATGGAGGAGGGGGGTGCGGGGCCCTTGACTGAGCTCTTTGATGCAAGTAATTCTAACAACTGTCGGGGATTCTTTTCTCCCTCCTTCATCAGTCAACGAAGAGAGCTTCGTTTTGCCTCAAAGAGGAGCTGATACCAAAGGCTCACATAGAAAGAAAATGTTTTGAAAATGATGATGGCAACAGATGTACAAAGGTGCTTGCTATGATTGATGAATGGATTGTTATAAAAATGGCAAGAGACCGCAATAAAAGGATTTATTTAAAAATGTGGATACTAATAGCATTTATATACTAGAGGGTTTGTGTGTGTGTGTGTGTGTGAATTACTTGAGCTAAAACCCCAATGCCTGCTGCCATTGAGTTGATGCCCACTGGTCGCCACCCTCGAGGACAGGGTAGACCTGCCGTGGTGAGTTCGAGGTTGTGAATGGATACAGAGGACGGCTGTGACGTCTCTCCCCTGGGGAGCAGCTCGCGGGTTCAGATGGGCTGACCTCTCGGGTGGTGCTTGGCTGTGCGCCACCAAGGTGAGTGAGTGTCGCTGGAACAGAGCCTGAAAGGGTTCCTTGCTGTCGCTGATACCATATCCAACCATTACGATGCGTGAAGAAATAAACGAGGTACAAAGGCATTCCGGTGAATAAGGCGCCTTTGACCCTCCCCCCTCCCCGGGAGGTTATATGAGGAAACAGATCATTCTCTTGTAATTCCATCTTTCCATGAAGCCCCTTCGAGGATGAGGAATGGTTATGAGGTCACAGAGCGGTGGTTCTTAACCTTCCCAATGCCACGACCCTTTCATACAATTAATTCCTCATGTTGTGGTGACCCCCCCAACCATAAAATAATATTCATTGCTACTTCATCACTGACATTTTGCTACTGTTCTGAATCAGGTGGCCCCTGCGAAAGGGTCGTTTGACCCCCAAAGGGGTCACGACCCACAGGTTGAGAACCGCTGTCATAGACGCTCTGCCTAGGAGCTCACAGCCAGTCGGAACAGGGATGGGATTGGAGCCTCAGCAGGAGCTGCGTTGCTCCTGGGAAGGTTAATGAAGGGCAGAGATAAAACACGAAGACACAGGTGCAGGCAGATGGTGCGCTGCAACGAACTAAAAGCCCTAAGGGACAGGGAGAGACAGACAGACAGACAGAACAGCACGTATGACTAGTTCAGCTGTGTGGATAGCAGGAAGGGTCACGCATGAGTCAGACTCCACAGCCAACGGCAATGAAGCCATCCCTCTCCCTCTTTAAAGGCTCCCTTGGCTGCCACTCTCCTGGGGCCTCTCAGGCCCAGGTGGCCAGATGGGCTGTGTGCCCTGTCAAGTGCCGCTGCCCCCTAAAGCTATGGTGCTGTGTGCCCCTGCCCACGTTTCTCCAGCCCCTGCAGTCCTCCCAGGACTTTCCAGGAGGTATGATCGGGCTGCCCCAAAACTCAGAGTTCTCTCACGATCTTTCTTCCCCAAAAGGAAGGGACAGAGATTCATTTTAACGGATGGAAACATTCTCATCAGGTTCTGTTCGCACGTAGACCCAAGAATCAATAGGCGGCCAGGCTGGCTGAAGCCCATGCTGTCACTTTATCTTGTGGGCGAGAACAGGGGCGGGTGAGCTCAGAGGACTCTCATTCCTGGGCCACTGGCTAAAGTCCCTCGTCACCTCCCGCAGGTGGTTGCCATGTGGCAGACAAGGCCTCCTGGGAAAATCGGATGGCCATTCACCTGCCTGCTGTGTGGTTCCATCGACTGATTTCTGGCTTGAGCGAACCCCAGGGGACTTTTGACTTTCCTGGTATTCTGATGAGCGATGTTTATGAGCCTTGACATTCTTCACTGTGGTCCTGAGCTGGCCCCAGCTGAGATGGCTATCGGTCTGCTCTAGTCTCAGGACACGCTTTATTCCTTTTCATGGAAAGGCTTCACCAAGTCTGCCTGCCCCTCCCCTCGCCACTCCCTCCCCTCTGTTATTTTCTTTGGCATCCGAAGAGGGCCATATTGTTTCTGGAAGTCAAGAGGGCCTTCAGGTTCCGAGAAGTGCCCTGTTGGGGAGTGGGCAGCGACACGAGGAAAATGTTGCTGGCACAAACGCCTTTCTCCTCAGCTCCCTCCTTTGAAGCTCACCCACAGAGCAGGCTTTGTGTGCAGCTCTGGAGGGCAGCCTAGAGGGCAGCCTGCTCTTCTCCTGAGGAGAGCCCTTCCCATAGCTCCTAGAGCTGAAGAGAAAATGGCCCTTCTCAGGGGCCAGCAACACAGTGGGAGCCAACCTTGATGTTTCTTTCCCTCCACTTCCGTTTCTAGACCTCACACCAGCCTCCGAGGAAGGCTGCCGAGGGGAGGCTCACAGGGCCTGTCTCAGCCTGCCCGCCCCTCTTCCGCTCCCTGCTCTTCTGGTCACTCCCTACACTGCTGCCATATCCCCTTTCCCTCTTCACCTGGTCCCGCCTCAGTGCCTCCCTCTGCCTAGGATGGGGTTTTCCCTTGGCCTTCTCCGACAGAATTCCTGCCCACTCTCAAGATCACAGCGCCCCTATCCCGGCTCAAAGGCTCTTCCCTTCCCCCAACTGTCCCTCAATGTTCCTTTCTCAGGAAGGACTTCTGCCCTCCTCCCTCCATCCCCGAGGCTGGGCCAACTGGTCTGTTTGGCTCATCCTGAATGGGAAGTGCTTGCAACCAGCCAACGCGTGGTGGGTGCTCAGCAAGAATCTAATCAACTGACCAGATAACTGATTATGATCTCCACTTTACGGTAAGGCACCTGAAGTTCCGAGAGGCTACGTGACTCACTTAAGGTCATAGAGATAAGTCCAGAAGGGAGTCAGGCAGCAACACAGCTCTCCCGATATTGTACGTGGGTTTGTGTTTTTCGTTTCCATCATTGCGTTCCTCACGCTCCTTGGCCGAGAAGGACCAGCTTGAGCAGGCAGCCTGAAGGCCGACTAGCGCTGCATTTGGACCTGGGATGTATATATACATCTCCTAGATTTGCAAGACCAGGAGGAGAAAGAATGATGTTTGCCAACACCAGGGCGTGTTTAAAAAAAAAAAGACCCCTTTTGCTACTTGGACGAGAGGAAGTCGGGACAAACGCAAGAAGAGAAACCAAGGGGGCCTTGGCTATGGAGAAGATCGTCTGAAAATGTCAAGTGTTTCGCTCAATGCATCCACCATTTGCAAAATTATCTAAAGGTGTCACAGACACTGAAGCCCAAGGGTCGGCTACAAGTCGGGGGTGGCGTCCTGAACACGGAGGTTTCATTCCAATGTTCCCAGAAGGGGTGGCCAGCTCCTTAGAAGTCTGAAGTAGGTCAATGGACGTACATATGTGATTTACACAATGGATGGATGTATGGATTGTGATAAGAGTTGTATGAGCCCCCAATAAAGTGATTAGGGAAAAAAAGACACTCACTCTAAGGGCTACCTGCTTTAGGAAGAAGCGTCGAAGAGCGATAGAGAATTTACAGACATTCTGGAGAATTTGTACAGTGCTTCTAACTGGACCCCAAAGCCAAACGCACTGCTGCCGACTCAATGCCGACTCATAAGTGTCCTACAAGACAGGGTGACACTGCCCCTGGGAGTTTCCGAGACTGTAACCTTTTACGGGAGTAGAAAGCCCCATCTTCCTCCCAGGGAGAAGCTGGTGGTTTTCAACTGCCGACCTTAACAGATTGCAGCCCAACTCATAACCCCTACACCACCAGAGCTCCTTTGCTTGTAAACCTGGGACGCATTTACATTCTGAAGGAAGGCGCACAAGTGTCCGCTGGAGCAGCAGTTGACACCTGTGCTTGGAGTGGTCGGGGTGGTGGGCTCTAGAAAGTCCACACAAAAGCGGCTAGTTGCCTCCCATCCCCCACTGGTCATCGCTGTGGGAGAAGGTGGCCCCTGTGCCGCCAGGCCTGGCTTGCTCTGTGAAATGGATCATAATGTCATTTTGATTCTTCAGTGCTATTAACATATCTGCTTCTTAAAAACAGTTCCAGGGGCTAAAGTGTTCCCATGGGCTGACGCAAGCCTCTTGGCAGCCAGTCTGGGAGGCCGCGTCCCACATGCTCTCCGATAGTTGTCTCCTTCCCAAGGTGTTTTGTTGACGCTGTGCTGAAACCTAAGCCCCCCCCCCCCCCTAGTGGAACAGCATTTTAA